CACTCTGTGTCACACAGTGACCAGAAATACCAGGTGCCATCAGGAGGTCCACCAGTGGGGCCAGGACATTAGAAGCCCTCCCACTGTTGACCCCCCCAAGCACCAAGAAGACAGAGCATCACTTGCCCCAGAGCCCCTATCTATACCTTGTGGCTAATAGCCACTGATGGACCTCTGCTCCATATGCTTAGCTAATTCCCTTTTGAAGCCGTCCATGCTTGTAGCCGCCGCCACCACTTCCTGTGGCAATGAATTCCATGTGTTAATCACTCTTTGGGTGAAGAAGTACTTCCTTTTATCCGTTCTAACCCAACCGCTCAGCAATTTCATTGAGTGCCCACGAGTTCTTGTATTGTGAGAAAGGGAGAAAAGTTCCTCTTTCTCTACCTGCTCTATCCCATGCATAGTCTTATAAACCTCAATCATGTCACCCCTCAGTTGTCGTTTCTCCAAGCTAAAGAGCCCTAAGCGCTTTTCCTCATAGGAAAGTGTTCCAACCCTTTCATCATTCAAGTTGCCCTTTTCTGCACTTTTCCAAAAGCTATAATATCCTTTTTAAGGTGTGGTGACCAGAACTGCACACAGTACTCCTAATGAGGTCACACCATTGGTTTATATAGGGGCATTATGATATTGGCTGATCTGTTTTCAGTACCCTTCCTAATAATCCCCAGCATAGCATTGGCCTTTTTTATTGCAGTCACACACTGTCTCGACATTTTCAGTGAGTTATCTACTACAACTCCAAGATCTCTCTCTTGATCAGTCTCTGCCAGTTCAGACCCCATCAATGTGTATTTATATTTAGGATTTTTGGCTCCAGTGTGCATCACCTTGCACTTGGCCACATTGAACCCCATTTGCCATGTTGATGCCCACTTGCCCATTCTTGACCCTTTGGAGTGCCTCACAATCCTTCCTGATTTTCAATGATGGACTTCATTAATTGATTAATTGCAATTGGTTTCACTCCTTCAAGACTGAAAAAACGGATGATGGAACGCTGCTCCTCTTTGGTGTATGTCTGAAGTAAGGCGGCCATCTTTATGCACTACTACTTGTCTGCACTCTGCTGCCACCTGTAGGACATTCCTTATGTCACTGGTAAAAATACTGCCAACTTACAGACAATGTTGTGGTGTTTCTAAATTTTATCGCCATTTAAAAGTTTTAATTTGATTCACCCTCATATTATTTGTGTATGTATTTATTTAAGGCTATTTATTTATTTACCATCTGCCCATTGGGACTGTCAATGCTATAGAATTTTTTTAAAAATCCTAAAAATACACATTAGTAAAAGCACATTGAATCCACAGCAAATAATACAAAACCAGCAAACAATGGGAGCAGCAGCAATAACATTTCTAAAAATACACCACAATGGGGGGGAGTGTATTCCCCCAAAATGCAAAGCAGCACAAAAAATAGATATTGTAAGCACTTGGAATTCTGCTTAGAAACAAACTGGCAGCCAGCCAGTTGGAGCTGTTGCAAAACTGGCAAGATGCGTTCCCTCTCATGCAGATGTGTCATTTAGGAGCCTAGCAGCACCCTTCTGCACTAACTGGAAGTTTCTGAGTCGTCTTCAAAGGCAGATCCACAATGAGCACCTGGCAGGCATCCTCAAGCCGCCTCAAGCAGGACTCTGAAGAGGAAGCATAGAAATAGTCTAAATAAATAAATATAAAATCTGGATGCAATTAGAGCATGGATAGCTGTGGCCACCTCTCATTTTCCCAAATGGCGTAAAAGTACTCTACGTCACAGATGAATCCTGAATGTCCACCTGCAGCAAAAGACCTAACAATAACCTCAGGTGGCAAATCCCTTCTTTCCATGCGGTCCCATCCATAAAGAGCTGACTCCTCATTCCTTGGCTGGCAGTGTTATCAGCCAACGTCGGCTCAGTCTGGTCTGAATTAAGCTTGAGTTCATCCGGCTCCTTGCCAGTTCTAGATGCCAGTTCAGAACATCGTCTGCATCGTGCGATGCTGTTGAAAAGGATAACTAAAGCTGCATGCCATCGGCATGCCTGACGTTTAATCCCCAGACAACATTTCCCAGCAGTTTTGTGTTAAACAGCGTGGGGGTGGGTGGGGGTGGAATGGAACTCTCAGCCTGACCTAGCTCGTGCGGCTCTTGTGCAGATCAAATGGAGGAAGGAGAATAACGTAAGCAGCTTTGATTCCCCCTTGGGAAGGAAGGAAAGTATCAATTAAATAAATAAGTAGCCCTTGCAGACCACCATAGCACAAGTGTCATCAAGCTGACCAAGACTCCCCACAACCTCTGGTACTGGTCAGCTACTTAAGAATTGAATTACAAGAATGCTGTGCCTTTGAGAGCCAGGTTGGTGTAGTGGTTAAGATCTGGGAGAACCGGGTTTGATTCCGCACTCCTCCAAATGCAGCTGCTGGGTGACCTTGGGCAAGCCACAGTTCTCTTAGAGCTGTTCTCTCAAGAGCAGTTCTCAAAAGAGCTCTCTCAACCCCACTTGCCTCACAGGGTGTCTGTTGTGGGGAGAGGAAGGGAAGGAGATTGTAAAGCCACTCTGAGACTCTGAGTGAAGGGCAGGTATAAATCCAATCTCCTCCTCCCCCCCTTCTTTTCCCCCCTGTATGGCAACTTGGGGGAGTAGGCCTTGGGGGTGAAGGGTGAAAGGCAAAGGGGGGATTCCTGCTAAAGTCCCAGAGGGGGTGGGGGAATTAAAAATAGACATTCTAACAGGAGGGCTTAACCCTTTCTCTGCCAATCTGAGTATGTCCATACACAAGTGCTTTCAAGTCACAACCAATTTATGGGAATCCCAGCAAGGACCATTCAAGGCAAGTGAGAAGTAGAGGTGATTTACTAGTGCTTTCCATTGCAGAGTGTTCCACAGTGGTCTCCCATCTGAGTACCAACCCTGCTTAGTTTCCAAGATCCGACGAGACTGAGCCATTCTGAGTAGCTTGTTTAAAAGGTTTTGGGATGAGTATCTGAGCATAGGAAAACACTGCGTGCTTATTCCATGTAAGAAGTAAGGTGCTTATTTATGTACAGGGAAAACAGGTGGTGTAAAAGGACAGTGTTCTGGAGTACGTGCAGATCTAATTGGGAGAATCAGTGGTCTCAAAGCTAACCTCTAATGCCAAAATGGTGGGAGTAACCACTGCTGCCCTATATATCTAAGATACCTTATTTCTGGACAGCTTCAAGAGGGAATTAGATAAACATATGGAGCAGAGGTCTATCAGTGGCTATTAGCCACAAGGTATAGATAGGAACTCTCAGTCTGGGGCAAGGGATACACTGTATTATTGATGCTTGGGGGGGCAACAGTGGGAGGACTTCTAGTGTCCTGGCCCCACTGGTGGACCACCTGATGGCACCTGGTATTTTTGGCCCCTGGTATTTTGGAGTGTTGGACTGGATGGGCCATTGACCTGATCCAACATTGGCTTCTCTTATGTTCTTACGTTCTTATAGTGGGACAGCCAAGTTTGTGCCCACCATGT